TCGGGACCTCATGAACGAATCTCGTAGAGAATAGACACCAAGAAGAGGGTACCGAGGTTTTTAAAGAAAACCTTGGGAGCTCTGCAGTACTCATCGAGGTAATATTTAGGGACGTCACGACGTCTCAGAAACCGTGAATAAGGCTTTCGGGTATAGAGCCACGAGTTTTACTCCGAGAATCCATCCGCGGTACCTCCGAGAATGCTTGAACACCCTGCCGCAGGCGTTTCCGCCGCTCATTCCGCGGAGAATCTCTTCTCCGCGTCCTCCGCGCTGGTGCTGAAGTGGTCTTTGCGTAAATCTACTGAATCACTTCTGTCGAATCACGCTGCCGTGGAGGGCAAGGGCGACGAATTCTTCTCTCCGTCCCTAAGAAAGTCTGCATTTCTTCGTGCGTGGCTTCAAAAAATGAGAATTATTTTGAGCCTGATCGGTGCTGCCGTTCTGTCCGGCTCCTTGAGGACTCCCTTCTCGGAGAGAACTCCCAATTCATCCCAACTCGAATCTCGAAATCGCAGATTCCCCCACCTGACTGAACGCCACGGGAAGTCGGTGCCCCAACTCGTGAAAAATCTAAGCGGCTCTATCAAATGCGATATTCCACGGCGTGCTTCTGGAGCATGCCGACAAGATACTCTGATTGCGAGCGGCGCGTTGCTCAATCGATGATGGACCGCCAAATCCCTCTCCTGTGCCGCGTTCTCGGAGGAATGACTAGCGGGAGGTCCATCCGTTTCTAGAGGAGAAGGCCGATGGGTCGAAATGATGGTTCAAACTTGAATACCCGCGGAAATGGGAAAATCTTTTTGTATCGGCTCCTCACTCGGGAAGGATCCCGCGACACTGGACTCACTCGGATGCTGACATTTTGTATTCCCTGAATTAAGTGCAAAACAAAGAGACTTCCCTACAGAACCTGGTTTCCGTTATACGTTGAAGTCTCAGTATTCGCGAATATTCCTGGGAAGTCGGAGGCGGCAAAGGGTCAGCGGGAGTTCGTGGTCCGCCAATCAAATATGGTAAACTTTCCATGCATAGGATGCGCAGGAACCCGGGATGGATCGTCCCGCGACCCGCGTCGAGCTTTGTTCAATATTCCAGCATCGATCCGCCATCCTCCTTGGGGGAGTACCCTTTCTGGAATATGAGTCATCCGAAGGAAGTCCAAAGGATAAGAATTGCCACAAGGAGTGTCGGGCTGATTCCCGTTCCTTATTCCAGGCTACCGCCCACCTCCTCCTACGACGTGCTTCGCATTCGAATCACACGCGGATGATTCAAGAAGCTCGATTCCGCTGCTCCTAGTGGTTCTCATTATCTCATGGCGCTCGTGGAATATTTCGTATGTTAAGCGCGGATCAATATGGGTCTGGCTCAGTGGCTTCGTGCTATTTTCGGGCTAGGTACAGATTGTGTAAAGGGAATAGGTTGATGGATGATAACAACGATGCTCAAATTTGTCCCCATAGGAAGACGAATCGACCCCGTCAGCAATATTCGGCAGTGAAAATATACATCATTGAATGCCGCATTCCTCTATGAGAAAGAGGGATGGAATTGAGTCTTGATATCCTGTTTTCGAACCTTGTTATATTCATGAAGTCTCTGGAGATCAATATATCCGAATTCGCGTAGAAACATTTGAGCCAATCGTAGTTCTGTGTTCGAAGTTGAATTTGCTATAATGAAGGAGTCAGAGAACAGTTCTGAACCTGCCATCGGTGGATCTCTGATGAATGCTCGGAGACGATTATTCGAAGCTGTACCTAAGCATCAGAAACACGGGGCTCGACTTCGAGCACGATATGCAGAGAGCTAAATGATCACATTAAGGAATCGATCCAGCTCGCCAGGGCAATCAAATTGTGACTATACGCGATTCCGTCCGGAGGCCGTTCGGAACAGTCGCCTCCAATTTTCAGAGATATCCCTCACGGCTGCCGGGTCGATACCGCGACCTTCCTCAAACTATCGGGGAATTCCTGAGTTCCTCAGCCTAGATCTAGTCTCGAAAATCTACGCCGAACGCTTCGAAGATCCCGTATATACTCGATGCATGATCAGAACACAATTTTCTCCCTTCGCTCAATCGATCCAGGACGTCCCGAAATTACTAGAAGTTGTTCAAGCCCCCAACCATCGGCAATGTGCTTCTCGAATAAGAACGAGTACCATATCCGCCGTCATCGCAGACCTGAACAAAAACATCGAATGTTCCAACAGGGTGTCGGGGAATGGAAACACTTGTCGGCTTTTTGCTGAGGCTTATAACCACACGCCATGAGCCATGAAGAAACTTCATATGGCCGTAATTGGTAGATATCCCAGCTCACGTTGTTGGGAATAATGTCCGCTCTAAGGCTGTTGGATGCGATACAGGAAACAGCTTCGGATCGACGGAGCTCGCCTGCAGCGAAGTCGTGCGTTTTTTCTCCGAAAGGACTCCCATTCGGCTTTAACCGCATCGGGAGAGCGATACACTCGGCAATCAGGTGAGCATTTTCGCTGCCCATTTCGTATGGCAACCATAATTTCTGTGTGCTCCGGCTCCGGTGATATCCACAGTACTTGTCTACAGAATCGCTCGTGGAAGGCTCTTCAAAAGCTCATTGTTTCTGTCGAGCCGTTCATCTGCAGAAGTTTCTCCAGGTTTATAAGAGCCATCGTGAGCAGGAAGGGGACGGCGGCTGCGACGAGAGCTCGCAGAGAATGCGTAAAAACCTCCCACTCGTAGGCCGATATCAAAATGACCCACAGAAGGACAGGCCAATGCTACTTCTTTCCGCTAATCGAGTCCTTTCATCCTCTGGTAATTTATTCAGCTATCTCATGCCGGTGGCGTGACCCTCGCAGCGGAAGTCCGAGTAGCCAATGCTGTCAATGGAATAGCTGAGCGTTAATATCGAACGTACTACAGAAAACACACTCAAACATGAACACGCCGGTACACTCACTTGTCCGGCCCTGAATCGGACCCTGGGAACATTCGGGCCTCTTGGTCCGTCTGGAATCAGACTGCCGGTCCCTCACAATTCGTTTGCTCCATTCCGAGCGCTCTGGATGTGACCAGACTGGTATTCCAGAAGATTCTCCCGTATTCCTTCATCCGATCCATCGTTACAAGCCCCATTTCGAGCTCACCCAAAGAAAGACCCTATAGACGCTGCCGCCGACGCGGCAGATCGGAGGTTTGTCTAGCGAGCCCCGTCCTCCGTCGAAATGAATGAATTCCCTCGGACTCGGGAGCTCCTCGTACCCATATACTCACCCGAAGAAAAAATCAGATAATAGACTGAGGGGGACAGTGATTGTGCCTAATATTGTGAATATAAATAAATATGAATAATATATGAGCGAAGATGTCTATGTTTGCGAGTGCGCCGCTCTCTAGTTGAGGCGGCATGACGAGAACGGCGGCCAAATAAGACGAGCCGATGCTCCAGAGAATTCCGAGAAAACGGGAATGGGGTCCCGTCGGCGTCGCCGCCTCCGGCCGGGAGCTTTTTCCTCCGGGTTGTCTATGTCTTGAACGCACAAGGCATGACCGAGCTAAGGAACGCAGCGATCTCGAACGATGCCGGGGAGTTTGAAAACTGACGTCTCGACGAGGTGTCATATCAAGCCCGTCAACCATGTGCGACGAACGAGCTCTTTATTAATGTAACGTGTCGACGCCGTCTTAAAGAAGCGCGAGCTTCACAAGTCAGATTCCAGAAAGGGCCACGGAGCGCTATCGATGGCTCCTTGGAGTCTATCACAAAAAAGATCGGAACAACGATGCGGTCCGCATCAGTATGTAACAGGCTCCCCTCTTCCAAGGAGCCGATCAATGTCGCAAAATAAAACGTGCTGCTGCGAGGCCAACGTTCCATGGGTAAACACTATGGTTTACGAAGAATTCGGCGACGAACACGGATCGATCGCGAGCGGAGGACCGCGGATCGAGATGAGACGAGAATGTGTGATACGGAAACTCGACTCGGAGTGCTCCCATATTGATTACCCTCTATTCCGACTGGACGTCTGAGCGCTCTCCTGTTCTCAACGATGAGGACTCCGACAGGTGAAAATCACTCGAAGGGTTTCTACTCGGAGATGTCATTCTTGATCAGTTCCGGACTTCTCCCCTCTCGGGGAATGGAATCTCCTCTCTCTCCTCGGCGATTCCCCTTGATTCTCATTATGGCTCTGAATTGAGGTTGCTGTTCGCTCCTCACATTCTTCGACAACGACACGAATTCTTACGTGGACTTCATTACTTTTCAGGGTTAGCGCTTCACGTCGTTCCTTTGTCTCATTTTTCCAGGCTTATCCATCAGAACCCCAATTTGCCCCGAGAACAACGCTAGCGCCCCCATTAGCACCCGAGAACGCATGAGAATCATTCATTATTTCCGGTATCAAGATTCGTAGTGATCGCCGAGTTCACGTGAAGGAGACAAGAGATTCTGATCGAGCGATTCGTCGATAGGAATTTCTTCTGATTCCCCGTCAGGGCGTCCTTCCTCGTTTCGGGGCACGTTGTCGTTCTCTCCCCTGTGGGCGGTGTCCCTCTCCGAGCGCCCTTTCCGCATCTCATGCCGTACTCCACGCTCCGGAACGGGCCTAGTTTCGTCCTGTGGCCCTTGTCGAGAGGGGCTTCGTGAATCGCTCATAACGAAAACGGAATGTGATGAACTCGCCCGCGAAAAGTCCAACATGCTCTGAACCTATCGGGACGGAACGTCCTCGGAATTGTGACTGCCTATACTTGGAGCGACGCTTCTAGGAATCACACGGGAACCAAATGGGGGAGAATAGCGACCGTCAACTATGAAAGCAGTGTTGTGTTGATTAAGGGAGTTCGTGTTCCCTGCCGGCAACTACTCACTCAGGATAAATAATTGATTAGTGGAACAACTCTTTGTCGGCACAGACGAGCGCCGTAATGCGGGCGTTGGACGCAAGCACAGAAATGTAGATGGCATTCGCATTTGCGGTCGGTGTGCGCGGAACGTGAAATGTGGATGATACTCTTGTGGGCTCTCGTCCTCGCGACGGACGCTCATAGAACGCCGGCTCAAAAAACACGGGATCACCACTTGAACGAGGAGATCCGTAAGTACGACAACTTCTACGGGGAAACTTTCGGCGTCTAGGTCGTCGTCCTCCCGTCGAAAGCGTCTATCTGGGCTCTTCGATCTTTCTCGGGTCAACCTTCAATGGATTCCCTTTTCCGAAGAGCAGAGGTTTTACTACGGCTATCAAACCTCGGGATAATCAGAAACGAGTAGTTGAATCGATGCGCACAAAGGTCTTCAGAACTGGAAAAGATAATAATTCTGTTCCGACGGCGTAAATGTGGGGATACCATGAAGGGCAGAGCTCGACCCGCAGAAGATGCTCATCACGGAATCTCATCGGGAGTCATGTCTTTAGAATCATGTCCCCCCGATGCCGGTACATTCTGTCGAGCGCCAAAAATCGCGTCCTGCCTCGTTCAATCTCTGCCTAGCAGATCCTGCAACAGAGTTGATTGCGACCGCGGATATACTCCTCCAGCTCTCTTCTCATCTGTCCGAAGCGGCCGCCGGCGCGACTTCGTGCTCATGAACAATCTCAATCCTATCGAGTCATGCTGCTCCGCTCCTTGCGGGGAGGAGATGCGCTATTCGATCTGGAAGATCGAGGACGAGTCCCGTGAGCGGAGGATTCAGTCCCCAGGAATATATTATACTTCGTCAGATGCCGTTTGTCTCATCCAGAGTCTCCAAAGTACCCCTTCTCTTTATCCCATCCGAACCGGAAAGATCCGTATGCTCGTCGACCACAACGCGATTGACCCTTCGAACGCTCTCGGGAACGCGCGATCTGATGCGCATACGGACGTAAGCGTATCAACAATAACCCATAGCCGACCCGCTTTCCCTGCTTGTGATCCATCGCACTCGGGATATGGGGGAACGGGAAAGCCTTCCCCAAGGAATCAACTAATCCTATCGGAAAGAAAAGTTCTATCGGAGCTCAATGCCATGCGAGTCCGAATGAGCGCCTTCACGATGTGAATAGACGCCGCCGGTCGATAAGCGCCATTAATATGAATTCATAAACTTACTCAGAATAGGCTTCATGAATTCTCTTCGAGGTTGCACAAATGAGCTCGATTCCTCATGTTTCCCGGAATCGCGATCTAACGACCGATGAGCGAGCCATATCGGCTCAGACGGCTTGTCGGGCGCTCAGGCGTGCCAGGTCACGCATCGCGCTCCTCCGAGAGAGTATTCTGTGCTTGGGCGAGAATTCGATTAAGATGACAGTATTCGATCGGTGTTGACAGAGGGAAGCCGACTCTCGTACACTTGCACGATGGCCCGAAGAGACTGTTATTAATGCCGCTTATTGTTTGTGTGCAGAGCGACGCTCAGCGGAGTCACTCAAACTTTGGCTCCATTCCGTGTGGTCTTCTCGCAACGACGGTTTTCATTTCCGCCTCGTTAGACCCCTCGCTAAAGGGTTCCACTGGTTGCACGAATGATTTGCTTGAGCGTGGGATGAAGAGGTTTGTCTCTGCTTCTCCCCTCTGTCCGCCGGCTCCACCTCGTCTGCTCGTCCGCTTCTTATGCGTCCCCTCCATCTGTGTGAAGTGTCGAGGGAGTCCGCTCGCTCATTCAAATTAGGAGCAGCAAGTCGTTGCTCTCTGCGTGACCCTGGAATCGCCTACTGGGAATACTCTCGCGAGTGTATTCCTGACTAAAATGCACGCATGGCCGGAAAAAAATGGCGTGCCCGACCCCTCGAATAATTGCTAGGTTTGCTTTGGACAGCATCGAAAAGTTGTTAGGCTTTTCACGTTCCCCGGAAAGCTCGTGTCCGCGATTAAACTCAACACTTCACCACAACAGTTGACAGAACTGTTCTCGGCGCACAAAAACATTTTGTCAGCGCTGGGCAATGCTCCTCCGAGGGTCCAATGAGGCGTGTGCTTTCTTCACTGACAACTTTAAACGATGTCGCGGAGAACATCAACGGACGAGTAACCGACCAAGAAAGTGAGCGGACGAGAGGACACGACGATCGGGGACGAAAAAGCCAAGCAAACAAAAGAAGATGACGACGGCGACGTATACAGTATCGCATCGGATCCAAACTACATCATCCTGTATTTTGCGCCACTCTCAGCGCTCAAATGGGTTGCTCCGGAAACAAAAAGGAGGCGAGAGGTATCGTTTGGGTGCGATTTGAGACTTTTTCCGCTCCATGGCTAATTCCTGGGGCATAGGACATCGCTCCCCGAATCTTAGCCTTGGAATCACTCCTGAGGCGCGGTTGGTTCGTTTCCTCGGCACCCACGAGATCAGCTTATCACCTCGGAATCCCTGTATGTTGGGGATACGAAATCCTCGGTGGAGATCGCGGACTCAGAGGGTCGCTCATTGTCATTTTTGGGTGTTCTGAAACCCTCCGTGGGAGCTCGAGATATGATTCAATATCACCTTCGATATGCGGCCTGATCTCGATCTACTACATCTCTCACTATATTGATGGGATTGACTCTGATTTTCCATCTCTCGTCAGTCTTAGTTCTCGGCGGCAGCAGTATTCGAAAATCTCGGGTTTTCTACAGGATCGCTCTGTCCCTCAGGATTGGAACGAAACTTGGAAACCCACTCGTCGCTCGATCAAAATTCGCAGTGCGATAGTGATCTTGGCGAAAAACGAGTCCAAGTCGGACTATCGCGCGCTCTTCTAGATGTTTATTGAGAAGTGCTTCTCATTTTCCGTCGCTATTTTCGTCGTTCACCCTTTGGTGATTTCGGAAGTTCGAGCAATTTCCCACAATAACAGTGGATGTCGCAGAGCCAAACTCGGTGGTGGTGGTGGCGCGGCGGCGACACTAATGGATGATGATGATGATCATTCACGAAAATTTGATTTTCTGTTGCCGGACTCCCAGCGGCATATTGCCTTCCTTTGCGAGAAGATTCCATGCCGAGGAACGGAGGAAGGAATTCGCTGCTCACTCATGGAGGGAAATTCCACGTTCGGCGAGATATCCGGCCGCGGATCGGTCAATGTTTTTTTCCCGCTTCGATGAACGCTAGGATAAGGAAGTCAGCGAGCTCGTGTAAGGTCGATTGATATTTGTTGTTTGCTACGCAATCAGATCATTGGACGTGGCGGTAGTAGTCGGCAAGCCCCATCGGATACTCCCCTGGTATAGGCTATGCGCACAGTCTGTTCCATTACATTGGAGAAGAGATCGGCAGAGGAACAAGCAATAAGCCGTTCAGAAAAGGCCGTGTGCTTCTGCGATAACATGCCTATTGATCTCTCATTAGGCCCAAGGAGTCGCGAAGGAGGAGGACTCGCAGCCTAGCAGCAGTATGGCCGCTAGGACGGCCAGACGTTCGGCCAGTTAGTCAGAGAATCGTCCTCGAGAGAAGAAGAAGAAGCCAACTGCCAATATAGTGTCACCCTATCAACGAAAAGTGGCACCACGTCATCGCAGCGGGGGCGAATCTTATTCATCGACAGACACACAACGGAGTCGAACGGACACGTTTCAATATAGCGTCGAGTCAAGCGTGCCCGCATTGTCCGCTAATACGTTCCCACGCCTCTCAACGTGATTCTCCAGCGCCTTGAGCCCCGATGCTGATTTTGTTTTCTAAGTGCACACGCAGATTTGATTCGTCGGCACGGCGCCCCAGGCTCCGGGCCAAAGTCGTTTTCGGTCTGCTTCTCCAGAGATAACCGAAAATATCTGCAAGGGAGTCTGAGAGGGAAGGCCCGGAATGGTTTCAATGGATGATTCGAGCTCATGATGAGAGAACAAAAGTTCCCCGATCAGAATGACTCGCTCTGGCCGTGAGGGGTCGACGGAACTCGTCAGTGCAACAGCACTCGATGGGCCTCGTAAATGGCTATCGCGCAGCCATGTTTCCATTCATCGATGTGTGATCCTACGTCTGCTGAGGGGGGAGGATTGGGGGGGGGGCGGTCTCTCGACGGATCCTGACCTGCATCGCCAGAAGGGCAGACTCGCCGCGGGCAATCATTCTTTGCCTCGCGAGGAAGCACTTGCTCACGCGAACAATAGAATCGGAGTGAGTAAGTGCATCTTATGAGTGTGCTGCCTTGGCCGGTCGGTTATGCAACGGCCGCCGGAAAGAAGAAATAGCTAAAGAGGAAAGAATCGCCGAGCGAAAAAGTTGCATCTCGAATTTGCATTTTACGAGGCCACGCAGTGTGTTCGCTCGCCTGAAGTCTGCTGCCCTGCCGGCTCGACAGCCAGTCGGCCGAGCGGTCGCTCGGTCTACGCGTCTGCCTGCATGACTCCGCTTGGAGAGCTTGAAATCACGACGGACCGAGATAGCTGTCGACGACGCCGTCGGAGGGAAGAAACGAGACAAGAAGGAGGACCACCGTCAGAGGAGTAGTGGGAGGCGCGCAGAAGGAGGGGGACTCCATAGAATTAAAGGGGAGAGATTCCAGGGGAAAATAAGGGTACGGTACGAGTCTCGGCGTCGGCTTCAACAAAAGACTGGCAGTACGCCAAACAGTCGATCCCATAATCATCGCGGAGACCTCTGCTGATGCTAATAGCTCGACGGGTTACTTGTGGTTCGATTCACGCACTATTATGCCGTTCGCGACAATGTTACTTTATCAACATTAAGTCAGCCTGATTACCAAGTGCTCATTCAGAGAGGAATTCAATTCGCTCGGATTTTTCCCGTACGCTCCCTATCGCGGAGGGGAGCGGCGGGCGAGGGATACGGAAGCGCTGAGATTTCACAGCTCGTTGCTTGTTAGACCGGGAGCGTGTGACGTCAGACGAACGCGGCCATGGAGCAGGATAGAAGCGTCCCGGCCATGAAGTGCGTCACCACCGTCGTCGCAAATGCTGGAGGAGCGCACGGATCGTGGGCGGGAAGAGAATTCTAAACAGCAGAAAAAATTATCTCTGGAAATTCCACTCTACATAGTAGCCCGGATCCCGAATCCGGGTCGGTTTCAAGAAGCAAACCGAGAGCAGATCAGAATACAAAACAGCAGCTGGGGTCATGCGCTCTCCCGCCACTCACATTGGTTGCGGTTGACAGGAAACAAAATGAATTGTGAAATATTCACCCGTACTTTTCTTATGCTCTTCTTCTAGTCGTTAAAGCCGAACGAGGGGGTTCGGTGCGTCTTCCATGCGACATCGAATCCTACTTAGATGATGAGCCCATAAAGATCCAGTGGTTCAAGGACAATACATCGTCGCCATTCTACATCTTGGAGGATACCCGCAGACGCGGCATTTGGAATGCCAATCACGACATCAGCGTAGAATGGGCCGGCAGAGCCTTCTTTTCCGGTAATTCTATCCATGGCTCACACTACGACGCGATGGGTCCATAGCGAAGTTTTTTTTGTTTGCTGCGTCTTCGTGACATCGGAACGATATGAGTTTCATATGAATTTTGATTGAAATTTTCAGCTTTGAGTAGTCCATCGAGCTTGGAAGTTTCGAAAGTCCAAACCGCGGATGCCGGAAAATACGCGTGTAGAGTTTTGTTCCACGGAGGCGAGCTCAGGACGCAAAATATCACGCTAATCGTCGGAGGTGAGTGAGTTCGATTAATGATGCTATGCTCATCGCCCTAGACCTAATTGAGATAATATTCATGCCCTCGATAGGAGTAGGTACCTGATTTGATTAGGTATACCTATTTTCCCGCTTTTCCCCTCGTTTCTAATCCGCTCTTCAGAACGAACGCCTGATATGGGCTGATATGACGACGTCTATGCAAAGCACCCTCTCCGGTGACTGCTTACCCTCCTATCCAATCGAGAACCTGTCCTCCAGAGTCTGTTCTCTGCTCTTGTTTCCCTCAATAGACTTCCCGTCTATCTCAGCCAGTCAGTCAGAAAACGACTTCAGTCGTCGTCCACGGGGAAGAGGAGTCGTCCAGCTCAGCCGAAGCAAGTGGATGGCGTCTAAGCGATTTCCGCAGGCTCAATAAATCTTGGTTCGGGGGGTCTACGTTTTTTTTGATTTCTCTATAAGTCAATGACTCCCCGTATCATCTGCAGTGTCACCGAGCAAGCCGCAAATCACCGATGGCGACGGGACGCTTCTTCGAGGCACGGTTGGACCGTTCTACGTCGGACACAGCCTCCGACTCAATTGTATCGTCGAAAGAGGTACGTAGCGACACAATGTGATCTACGGACTAATGGAGCTTGGTCGGTGTTGTTGTGGCGTGTCACGTATCGGACGGGCTCCGATGAACATCGAAGTCCAGCGTCTGCATTGCGAAATCCCTTGCAAAGATCGAAAATTCCAATCACGATCGCGCCTGGGGAATCGGGCTCAAAACTGCTGAGAAGTCCTCCGAATCTTCGGCATCGGATCTGTTTATTGTGTCAGAGCTGATCGAGACTTCGCTGATGACACAGCGGTGTGCGCCCTCCTTAGCCGGCGACCTCGACCTCGGCATCTTCTGGGCGAATATTATTATATTCTAGGGGCGGATACAATTTCTCACACGGGAACCCGTTTTTCACCCTCACGGTAAACTTTTCGGGAGCTGTCACGAAAACCCTTACCTCTGATCCTGGCTGATCGACTGCGTCAGCTTCACGGTCGCTCCTTCCGAATACGGGGATCCGGATCGGCGAACTTCGGAAACAAGGAAGGTAGAGGACCCTTCCGGGAAATAAGTTCAAGAGAGACACGGTATATCAGTGACTGACCTGGAATCCCACCTTGAACATCTGGGATTCGCCCCCGATAGTTTGACACCCCTGAACCCTCTGGAAAGAAAGAGGCCGACCCCTCACGCGATCCGATTCGATAATAAGCTCCGACCAGATTGCCCCGCTGGCCGGAGAAACCTCGCTCCAACGATTATATACGGTCGGGAGAGTTGATTCAGAACGTCCTAGAGCTTATCTCAATTGTCGTTCACAGGCGATCCTATGCCTACAGTTGTATGGCGACGGAATGGCATCGAGGTCAAACATGGTGGACGATATACATTGTACGCGAAGAAAAGGCTGGAGGGAGTACACCTCGTCCTCGACATCGGAAGACTGGTCCGGGACGAGCTCAAAGCATCGTTCACGTGTGAAGCAACAAATAGGATCGTTGAGAAATCGCTCAGTACAACAGTGACCGTGGACCTCATACGTGAGTAGGTTTTTTCTCTCGGCAGAATCAAAAGCGCATCAGAATAATCAGCTACCTCGTTGAAGCGCTGCTGGAGGAATTCGTTTTCAGCTCCATAATATTTCTTCCCTGAGTTTGCTGCGATCATTCGCGGAGTAGGCGAAATCAAAGAACGTTCAGCCAAGAGGCGCCGAAAATCCTCGACCGCACTAAAGGCTGTCGTTTGCCGGAGGCTTCGCCGTCGAGTGATTCAATTCGGGAATTCGAGAGTCCCTCTCGATCTGGGGCGACGTACTCCCGACAATTTCAATTGATGATCTGTTCCGGCGGCGTTGGGGACAGCCTCTGATATCCGCCACTGAACTCGCTCCGCTCTTTCCTAAATATGCCATTCAGCTCCCCGGGGGTGTTCGATTGAGATTGCCCCAAAGCAGTGATCCACGCAGGAATCCCGTGACCCAGATTTCCGTTCAGCATTTCTCCTCACCTGATTGGGTGAATATTGCGCTCGAGGACGAAAACTCGTTTCCCTGCGACAGAGATCTTTCTCGACGACGGGCGAGACGAAGTGAAGTTCTCCTACAGCTGCTTGGGAATATTGACGAAATTACACCGTTGACTGGAGAGAAGATTCGGTTCGATTCCACCGCAGCTGGATCGAACAATGATAGTTTTCCGTTTCCCGCGTGTCACGTCGCATCCCGGAAGCGCCCTGGCATCGTCCCGTTGGGCATATTGTTATACTTTGACGTGGGGGTATCCAGAAGCATTGTTCTAGGCTTATCCTCCGACCACCGATGGGAATATGAGTGTCGCAGGCTCACGTACTCCCAGCTCGGGGAGTCTTATCACATCGTTCCCGTGAATCATGGACCGAGGCATCGTTGTCAATGAGTTCCTTGCTCGTTCGGATGAATTTCGCAGCCTGCTTCCTTGGTCCGTCCTCCCCTAATGGAGATTGAATAGCTCGCGAGTATATAATCGAGATCAATGGAACTTCCGGGGGTTACATGAACGATGTGAAATGCAAGCTCCTCTGACAAAATGTGTGGGTTTGCATGCAAATCCCAGTCATTATTTTAGTCTCCCAGGAAGATGGTGCGCCGTCTGTCGCTGCTCTGAGATCCGTCCAGGGTGATTTCAGAGAGCGAAAACGCACCCTTTGCAGTGCTCCTTGGGGTCACAAAAACCTGTTCCCTTCACCCGTGGGCTTCGGACAGCGTAGCCCCATCGTCAAAACTGGAATTCGTTCCGTTCTAGTGAGCCAGTCGGCGCCTCTGCTTCCTCGCACAAATGCTTCTGGACCTCACTGTTTACCGATGACACACGCGGCTCGGTTCAGCCGAGCGGTGAGCCTCTCCACCATTCAGCGACGAGGAGACGGGCGAATGGCGGAGCGACCCCACGCCTGGTCGACTTGTCGAGCGTTTCACGCAAAGACGGAAACGTACCATAGATATATGGCAAGCCTGGAGTTCGGCATTCTAACAAGATATTCCCGGTCGACCTTCCTCATTTCTCTCATTTTGCAGTTCCGCCCCTCTCGGTCGAAATTGAGCAGGGGGGTTCCCGATACGACGCCGGCACCTCGGCGGAGTTTCGCTGCCGAGTGAGTGGATCCAGACCGTTTCCAGTTGTTACCTGGATCCTCGCAACTCGCAAAATAGAATCATTCTTCAATGACATCAGCAACGAAGACGACGGTGAGTTTCTCCGACGTCGAGCCATGCGCTGGGATTTCGGATATGGATGAATTTCTCGTGGACTCCGGGAATAGCTTTGCTTATCTGGTTTATTATCATTGAGGACAAGTTTCCCCATCTGCGGATGAGATAGCTTTCTTCCCGCGGTCGCGCGGGAACATCAACGTGCTTACTCCGGTTTTCGTATCTTTTCCTGAGCGGCCATGACCGGACAAACGGCAGACATTATCACGGTAGTTCTGCGCTTGTGTCTGGCCTGGTACGCCGATGGACCCTTCTGGTCGGCCCTCAGAGTGAATTAGCTCCAATTGACTGCGTCTGGGGTCTAACCGAATGATACGGAATCCATTCGAATCCGGAGAGACCGACTCACTCGGTGGTACAGACAACGGTCGCAGAGACGAGAGACGAACCTGCTGCCCGTCTGTAAACTCGGAGCGAAAAACTCGACTACGGCCTGACACGCAGACAGGATGGCGTATCAAAATCAAAAGCATTGCCGGCAATAATCTCTACCGCCCTGGATGCGTCGTTCTGCTCAAATAGTGTATTTTGGAAAATCATGAGGCAAAAGTGATCGCCCGCCTCTCGCTTGGAATATTTTCCATGTTCGTATCCAGATAGTGTTAGGCGAATCACGCGGCGTTCGTCAATCGCTACGGTCTTATTCAGCCTCTTTTCGATGGCCGTTCCCGATTGACGTACGGACGATATTGATTCTGTTGAATACCACCTTCCTCGTGCTGATAACGCGTCGTCCGCTCCTCTATGCGGGGAAATCATTAGGGATGGCAGAGGCTTCGCTCATATACGGTAAACCATTAACAGGAAACACGACTGTGTCAACACTCTTGCTAACGATGAGCCCTCAGGAGAACGGACAAAAACTAATCTGCCGGGTTAGCAATCACCAGCTTCCAGGAAGTACCTGGGACGATTCCGTGGTACTGAACGTTCTGCGTAAGTCGCTCTCCTTCTCGCTGATCCTTGGCTAAGCTGTATCTAATGAGCCGCTGAACTGGATGCCTGTTGTTGTGGGGGAGGAACAGCCTGAAGATCCTGCTCTGAATAGATTTCCAAAGTTGCTGACGCCTGTCTCGGACGCCTTCACCCACTCCTCACCCAAGCTGACTTTTTATCTCAATGTTTCGATTTTGCTTGCCACTCTCCGGGAAATACCGCCAACGTCGACTCTTGCAGATCGGCCCATCGTGCATCTGCAGCTGGGTGAAGGTCTTCAGCTGCAGCGGCTCCAAGAAGGGAGTGATGTTTACTTCGAGTGCTCGGTGGCCGCAAATCCTCCTCTGAGTCAGATCCAATGGACACTCGACGACCGGGAGTTGCCACACGACAAAGACATTATTGTTCAGGTGAGTAGGCTCCGAGCGAGTCACTGTCGGGATGATCGTGTTCCCGTTCCCACAGGCCAGCAGCAGCAGCAGCATACGAAACAAAGCGACCAAAGTTCGGACTTCGGCGTACAGTCGGCGCGGAAAATCCGCAGTACAAGCAAGCGTCACAGTCACGCCGGCGCCGTCGTTACGCAAGCCCGGTTGCGCATAAGCGGAGCTACTGTTCCCCCAGCTTTGTGGAACCCCCGGCGCGTTCGCCCGCCCACTCAGACGCGCTCGAACATTTCACGCTGAGATCCCGCTCGACTTTGAAGGCTCCGAGAATGGAATCGCTCGCCGACCCATTACCACTCGCTTCGTTAGACAATCTCTCCGTCTGTCTGACTGCTCGAGCGTCCGTCTCGTGTTCCCATCTGCTCTTTCGGTGGCTCAGCGGACGTGCAGATAAGCCCAAATGGGCGAACAAATCTCCCGGCTAGGAGGCCTCCTCACAGTGAATCGATACGGTAACGTTCATTGAGGGCCCACTGATTAGCAGCAGAGTAGGCCGGAGGCCGTCCACTCCAAGTGTCGTAGGAACCTCGTGAATTTGGTAATTCCTCCCAGATTCCTCTGAATTCTCTCAAAGACCGACGTGATGACGGCTCGGCGTCCTCGGCGGTCGAATTCAGGAACGGGGAGGCCCGCCCTCAGGCCCCCAGGAAAGCGCTCTTCCCGTTGCTCGATAGAGAAGACTCGACGGGAGTCTCGATTGGGTTGCAATGTCAGGCTCTCTTGTGCCTCTCGGCAGCAGAATCGTCCGGGCAATCTGTCGAGTTCACAGGACCTCGAATGATAGATTGAAAACTCCGTCACGACAAGCAACTCAGCGTGGTACCCACTCGGTGGCCCGAGTTAGGGAAACTGTGCTTCTCGACGCGTGTACTAGAGACCGAACCCCTTACGAGTTCGGTGACGTTTCGAACGCTTCTTCGGAGACCTTGTCTAAGGGTGGTGTGATCGCCGTAGCGCAGAAGGGCGCCCAGTCGTGCTCGCTCGGCCGTATTTCCCATTGATTATCGAGCGGACCCAAGGCTCCTGGGTCTAATTCCGACGAAGAAAATAATCAAGCGGATGACCCCACGGGGAAAATTTGGAAATTGAATGTAGATTGCAACATCGATAATGATTATCATTATCATGCTCCCTCGCTCGGTCGAGCAGGCTGCTGACAGCCCCGAGGAGATTCCAAAATCGGGTCGGATGAGGCCTAAAGGTGGCGCCCCTGGCTCCGATAGTATCGCCCAAGTGATTTTTATTTACCTCAAGAGCGCAAGCAGTAGGTAGTGCTCATCGTCCCCTCATACTGTCAGAATGCTCCAGTATCGACTACCAGCTCGAACAGGAGAGAAAAACAAGGGAGACGAGCCCTGTCACGCTCCTTTACCTGCAGGCACAGTGGCTTCGTGCCAGCTGTCGCTCTGGGTTCGAACCGGATCGACCTGGAGACAGTCAAATCATAGTACCTGTTTCTTCGGCGGCGCCTCCTGTGGGAGACTCCTTGAACTCCGGGACTCCTAGTCCGTACCACGATTCTCGACAAAGCTAATCTAGTCAATCAACGGGAAGGGGACTCAGACGAATTTCTCACCGATATCCGCTATCCTTTTTCAGGGAACGTATTTGGCTCTGCGAAATGTTTCAGCCGCTAAGCTCAACGGTCGCCTGAATTGTGATGTCACGAATCCAGTCGGAAGCGTCAGGAGCAACGATGTCGAGCTGCGGATCCACTGTGAGAACGCCAGCGGTTTCCGATTTTCTGATAGATCGTCGGAATGTTGAGGGCAGCACTGGAATTCACGAAGTCAAGCTTTTAGGAACCAGCCCGGAGCGGATTCAGGGCAGTAAGGTTTCCGGTCCTTGCAGATCCTCCGCGGTGTCGACCAGAAGTCGAGAGGTTTCATCGTTTCGCTTCCATAAAATCACCCGTCGTAATCCGCTGCCAAATGGACGCGGATCCGCGCGACAAGCTCACCTTCGTGTGGCTACTCAAGAACTCTACCTCCGGGTGAGTGTTCGGGTGAATACTCCGAGATAGATCCCGGAAGACTCCGCAAATCTGAGGCCACCCGAATACCGAGCTCCGGACCCCTTGCGATCTGGTCGATCATCAAGCGCTCGCTCAAAATTGATCCGGCCCGGGCTCATTCGGAAGAATGCTCCCAAGCATTTCAACGTGTAACCTCCGGGAGGCGGTCGCCTAAGTGAACATGTGACTGATGAACTGCGTTGTCGGGCCGAATTTGGATTCTCTTGTATTTGAATCCTGAGTCGATCATCTCGTTTTTTCTTCTTTCCAGGGGACGCCGTTACTTGAAAGACCACAAACTCATGAATGACTCTACTTCTGTTCTCTTCTACACTCCATCATCGATGTCTGAAGTTGCATCCATTGAGTGCTCGGGGAATAACTCGCTGAACAAAACAAATCGAGCGCAACCTTGCGTCTTTCATGTGGAACCCTACGGTGAGTGAGCACAGCAAGAGCCCAACATGAAGGAGCACAAGGGACGAGGGTCGTTCGCGGACTTCGCGAGGAAAAAATCGGTCGGAAAGTTCGCTAGCTTGCGTTAATCCCCCCTAATTTTCTACGAGAGCATAGCGATTCGAGATCACCAACAAGACGGGAGCTCTGAGCTCCCGGCACAGTATCCTGATCGCCCTACATATCTTCCTTGTATTTGAACACAACTCGTTCTCTGATCGTCTCGATCAGATCAATTTCTGGAGTTTACGGAAGCTAGAAACAACTTGAGCGCGAACCTGGAAGCAATGCTAGAGCGCCTGGTCGCAGCTATTTCCGCGGCAGACTCCCGCCTTCGACGAGCTTGGTGGAAACTATCATTCCCACGAATTTCGAGAGACTTCGGTCGACTGAACGTAGATTTCGAAGCCTCTGACGTGCTCGGTGATCATTAGTTTCACTCAAGACATCGTGGGGTCCCGTTGCTTGGACTGATCGCGACGCGAGAGCTCTAACTCAACGAGCCCAAGGTGGAACATGAGTCGTTCGTTTATCTCACACATGTCGGTGACGTCAGATATTCGAAACCAAAGAGTTACTCGACACCGTCAACCGCTCGAGAGCCGATTCGCTCAACGCATCCCTCACCTCCGGGGATTTTCGCCTCCCCAGCTCCTTCCGTCGTGCACTACGTTCTTGTCGTCGGCGTCGTTGCGTACCTCGCTCAAGCATCGGCGACGACGACGACAGGTATCAGGATCCTATATTCGCACTCGGAGAAATTAGGCACCATCGCAGTCCGGGGAACATCGAACATCACGTGTAAACCTGAAGTCTGGGTTCCGATTCCTCCAAGAGTTTTCTCGTCCGACTCTACCCGGACAAATGTCCTGAGCCTCGAATAAATTCGGATACGAAAAAATCCGAGATCTCGACATTTCGAGACGAATCGTTGGACCTCCAGTCTGAATACCGTTCGGGAAAGATTCAACAGAGAACGTCGATGTGTGCTCTGCGCGAACGCTAACCGGGGACTTGTTCCAGGAGCGCCGCCGGTCCTGGGAGATTGTCAGGTTGTAAACCAGGCTCAAAGTTGGTTCTTTCTCGAGTGCGACACCTCATCACGGGAGCACCTCTCGGAATCTTATCAGCTCGAGGTTCGTTTGTTGGAGAATTCCGTTTCGGTCGACGTTGTACGAAATCGAGCGAGTGGGGAGAGACCAGGAGGAAAAATTCGATTGCTCAGATTTTCCCGCGCCTCGTTCCAGGTTCGACACGCGGATACCAATGTTCTTCTAGCCAACCTGACGTCGCAGAACGACGCGGTTTTCCAAGTGCGAGGTATTCCCGACTCGACCGAGTGCATCGCTCTGGTGTTTGCCTTCAACGAAAAAGGTCGATCCGAACCGACCCGGGTCATGATCCAGGCCATCTCGCCTCCATCGAAACTCTTGACCAACAGTGAGTCCGTTTCTGTGTGGAAAGAACTCGATCGAATTGCAGAATTCTGCGAATGAAATCGATGCTCTGGCGACCGACGACGACGGTCTACCGTCAGCTCCATTTCGCCGTCCCCTCTCCCTCGGACGGTTTGACCGGGATCGAGAGACGTTCGTCTCCCAGTTCGAGCGCTCTCGTTTACGATCTCGTGGAGATTCGATCTTGTATTTTGGGCGGGATTCGGAGCTGTTCACAGTTCTATCTTCCTAGAACGCCATTATTGCAAATGGATGCGCGCTGCAAAAAGCGCCCCGATCGTTCGCACTCTATCACTTTTCGACGGGGAGCAGCGTGACCTCCTTGGAAGTCCTCTTGTCGCAGCACGCGGGCTCGCGGCGGGAACTTCGAATGGAATTTTCGAGCTCTCTTCCTTTCCAAGTACGAATAGAGAGCGCCCTATTTCAGGTGTCGTGGAAACGTCCGTCACTGCAGGTGGCATCGTGATCATTGCTCTCATTGTGCTGATATCTGCTGCTGCCAGTTAACAAAAACTTCGGCGCCGTAGGGCGCCACCCCCCGCTCCGCCACCGGACGTTGCCGATGTAGCGATCGGTCCAGAGTTGAAAACGAAGAGACGTTCTTCCGGGAAGCGTTTCAGACTATTTCGCAGGTAATGGCTCGTCCAGATCGAATTCGGCTCTGATGCTCAACTGTCCTTGCAATTTTATTTCCGTCGGAGTCCTTCTTACTAGGAACCTGATCTGACGAAGATCATTGCGAAGTCGTGTTCTGGCCACCCCGATCCTATAGCGGCCTCTTGATGAGGATTCTCCGGAACAAGATGGAATTCGATATGTTGAATCTCTGGTGGCTCTACTCACCATTGGCCACTCATCTATTTCGGAGTTGGAATTCTCCTTTGGCGTCTCTGGCAGAAACGCCCTCCTGATATCCTCATTATATCGGCATTCCTCCGTTTTTCTTCTCTCCTCGAAGACACCGGATGTTCATTGCTGTCAAGAAGTTTCTCCCACTCCGGTTCCCAATCTCCATTGTCTCATAGAGAGGAATCGACTTAGTTTACGAGCGGATTGTGTTCTAAAATTGCAATTTTTCCTTTCCCCTCAGCGCCAGTGCCTTATTCAGAAGCCACAAACCACGGACTGTCACGGTTCTCCAGGATATTACAGAAGACCAGAAATTATGAAGACTGATTCAAAGCCGTGAGACTCGCCAGAGTTGTTGACCTTGTTGCCAAAACGCCTCCTGCAGAGAGAGCTGATGGAACGGTTCCGAACGACTCCTATTAGTTTTTTGTGGAGTTGATCGGTGTCTGTCCGCTCGGTCCCTGCTTATCTCCGATCGATCCTGATCACAGATATAGATTTCCATGAGCGTGAGTAACTGAAGGGAATCGAACAAATCTAGCTTTGAGGGAAGTCGGGAAGAATATGGAGACGCTTTATTCATACGAGCCACGAAAGAATAGAGCCACGAAGGAAGCCAAGGGGATCATCAATTAAGGAATGAGTTATATGAGCGCAGAAGGATCCTCGATCTTGGTAATGTATGAGAGTTTTTGTGCGACGTCTTTTGGTGCGAGTGCGCTCGACCGTCTGTCACTGTGTGCACGACCGCGGTCAGCTGCACGCACGCAGCTGACCGCGTGCGTGCGAATATCATGTCACGATTGGGAGAATTGAGAACAAATGCTTTTAGTTCCGGAGATTCACTCCAGGAAATTCGTCCCATGGACGAAAGTGAATATCAGACATTACATGTGGAGCGGTATAATCATTTCCCACTTCTCCAAGTTTATTGCTCAAACTGTCCTAAGGCTATCGGGAATCGGAGTCGTTATCAACGGCATATTCTTCTCCCCATCTGTTTCGCGCAGCTTGCCCTCGTGCAGCAACCTATCCCATCACTGAGAATTTTCAATTCCGTTCGGATTGAGTCATTGTAATGCAATCCTCGAGGCACCTTGTTCTTTGGGATCGGCAGAGAGAATTCGCAAGGGCAATTCATTCTACAAAATATGATTTTCGTATTTTCTCCAACGCCGATTCATTCGAGTGCTGGGGGAGAGGGGCGCCCCCTTCTGGCGGAACAATCCATCCGTTGCATGAGCGGATGTGTTTCTGCCGATCTCCGACAAATCCAGACCGAATGTCGGGATATCGCATTCCTTCGAGAGATCACCTTTGAAGCTCGCAGCGGAATAATTTCAGAACTATGTGAATCGAAGCCAGCGCACCCCAAGAGCTGGTGATTTCAGTGACATCTCACAGTCGGGTGACCTGGTCGCCGCCGGACTGATTATTAAGGGTTGTGCGCCTGTTGTAAAGGGATAATGTTCTCCATGGGATCCGGGACGCCTCGTTCCAGATAAGAGTCCGCTGGGGGAACACGTCCGTCTAGCGATCTGTTCAAGACTAGACCAAAGTCAAACACCGTGTGCATAAGAATCACGGAGGAAAAGAGCATTAAGAAATCAATAAATCGAATTGTGTTATTTTGCTATGGCTGTGCATTCTTTGCGACTGCGCGCGTCTCAAAGATTCGAGTCCCGGCTGCTTTGAGGAATACGTACGCCAAGAGACAGACGGTATACTTCCGTTTTCAAACTCGGAAGAACATAACGCAACAAATGGAGCATCAGACGCCAGGCAACGTTGCAGAACGACGGCATCAACCCCGAACAGCTTGTTCCCCCCGCTACTGTTGCTTGTTTTAGCTGATGGGTTTCCGGGCTGGCAGTAGCCTCCGGAGCAAAACAGCCCCCGTGGTGAGCGGCTTCGTCCGAAAATTTCTCCGGGGCCGCTCGATGCAGTTCACCCTGAAGCATAGCAAGACTCATCCAAGATTCTTGTTGCTCTCTCTCGGAGAGAGACGCAGTTCATCTTCCGGGGAGCTGCGATACCATTATTTGCACCTATGCCGGCTTCCAGCTCGGAATCGGCTTACGAGTTCTGTGTCTGATCCTCTCCGTCTGTTGGCACGAACGTAAGACTGTTCGTTTGTACGAGAGTCCGCCCGGGCGGGCGGCCAGTCGGCCGGTCCGTCGGTCGCCTGCTTGACCGCCGCACCGCTTCTTCTGGAGCTCTGCCTCAACGGAGACATACGTATACAACGTCACGTAGCTCGTTTGTCAGAGCCCGGAGGTGGTGCGGCCGCCGCGCCGTCGCCATCGATGAACAACGACAATGTTTTGTGACGTAGTTTAGGCATTTCTTTCTTGTTATCAACTGCATTCCGTTGTTGCTCCCGGCTGGACCGATGGTCGGTCGTGTCGCTCCTGTTGCAGCGCTTCAGGGCTCGTTTGAGAGTGTTGTTGTTGTTGTTCGCTCGTCCCACTCGGTGATATATCGATGCGGCTCCTCTGGAATACGGCGGCAAGCTTTCCGCCTGCGTGCGAACCAGCTGGATCAAGCTCGGGAACGTCAGCCGTCCCCAGTCGACACTGGAACGCCTTCTCTGCGCTGGGTCGGCCATCTCGCCTCGCTGCCCTTCGCCGACTGAATCTCTTTCAGTTTACTTGTAGGTCAGCCGACGTCTGCGATTTGCCGCGCGGACAGAATCCGCAAAGCTCATTTAAATTTCAGTTTGCTCGATGTGCGGAGCTACGGCAAACATTTCGGATGCGAAAAGACACGCGTTCCCTTTGAAAATATTCCTCGGAGCATATCTCACTCCTAGACGCATTGGATTTTGCGCAACTCTCGATCCTTTTCAACTTCAGAGATTATTTCTCGCTCCGGCTGAGTTCAACCAGCAATGTTGTTGTCGTAGAATGGTGGGACGTATCCACGGAGACAGACCATCCCGCTTGCGGTTGGACCAAGTGAGCTTTCTTTGAAATTGACTGGCACCGTATGCAGCGAGAAGAGAAGCGTCTAGCTCCAAGACTAATTCGTTCAAGAGTTTTCCGAACTCCGGAGCGACCGCGAGGTTTTTCCACTTCGAGCGCAACGAGCAACGCGCAGCTTCTCTCCAGTGATTCGCCAATGTGAAAACCCTCGCGGAGCCGGCAACAGTGAAGTTGTCCCGTTCCCTTGATGGCAGTGAGGCTTGCTCGTGGACTCTTCCTTCCCGCAATGGTAACCTGCGGAGGAAGGACCCGACTCCGACAGGTGGTCCAACGAGCCGACATGTTGCGACGAGGCCTAATCGATCAAGTCGAGTGTTATTTGATAGAGACGATGCACCCTGGGTCATCGGCAAATCCATCGACGATCTATAACTGGTCACTGGGCGAGCCAAAGACAGCGTCTGCCAACGATCTATAGATAGAGGACGACGACAATCCATGAGCGGCGGCTACGGAGAGACAAAAAACAAGCGCTCGCCCGCTCTCGTAAGTGACCGAACAGATCTCGCCCCGACGACGATGACTCCGATTGATTTTCGGCGACAACGACGAGGAGGTCAACAACCGGCTTATATCTCGCTGTACAACTGTACATACATTGCGCGCGGTCTCGACCGCTCGCATCAGACTGGAGGTGGAGCCTATCGTCTGTTGCCTTCGTATTCCGTAGAGCTTGAGCTCCTCAGCCAGCGAAACAGACGGGAGCTCCGAAAGTCTCGGGAGATAGGGAAATATTTCCAAGGAGAACTCGAGGCTGGAATCTGCCGACCAGAGCTCTCCGTCGGAGGTGGAGGAAAACACGGGGCCATCCCAACCTCAAGGAAACAATCGACTCCAGCTACTCGAGTCTGTCGTGGGGAACTGGTCGCGATGTAGGTGCAGTATAACTCTGCTCCCTCGAGACTGCCGCTGACGTCATACTCCCAACGATTTTCCGACTGGGGAGAGGAAACTTTCCGGAGAGAATTGTGACGGAGTGACTTTCAAAGAGGCATTCTGTCTTTGTTTCAGCTTACGATGCGCCGCCGCCGTCTCGGCTCATCAAATCGGAACCAAGAGCAAGAAACCAAGACGAGTCGTCGAGTCGGTGCAATCATGCGTTGGGACAACGATGCCCGCATCGGAGGTCAGCAGCTGGAGGTCATTCGTCTCCTTCATGAATGAATGAAAAATTTGAAAGGAGAGGATCCCTTCATTTGTCAAACACACCCACTTGAAGACGCACTGATACGGAAGACGGACTGGGCAAAAATGACAGCACCCAGCGAATGTCTTCAAGTCGCCACCGAAAATGGGCTAGTGAATCAAGGCACCGATTGGGTCGTGGGGAATGAGGGATTTCAGCTAGCGGACGGGAAATGCTCACGTCCCTTTCTTGGTCTCGGTCTGTCCGGGAGTCATCGAGCTGGACGCTGGAGCGCACGTTCCAACATTGTCTCTGTCGCGCAGTGAATACGACGGGCCGGGTCGCCGAACCCCGCGAACGCAAAGGGCAAGAAGCGGTCCTCGACATATTTCCCCGAAGAGTCGTACATCGGAGCCGTTCCCAATACATCGACAGAGTTGCTTCAATAAATATTGGGAACACTCTGGAGTCGAAGTGGAGTCCCCGCTGAGCCGCGTCTCGGATGCGTCGTCCGATGCCATGCCGGGTTAACTGCTTCTCGGGCCGAATTCCAACCGGAGGGCGGATGGAGCTGTCCGGTGGGCCCTCGCTCGTCTACCCAGGCGTCCCCCTGTCCTCAACTCCCTCAATCCTCCCCCCTTTTGTCAATAGCAGGTGGCTCCGGGAGTATTACTCAATCTGGTGGTTTATCCCCAGCAGCTTCAAATAGGTGGGGGTAACAATTTGGGCCGATTGAAAGCGGATTTGGCCTCTACGACGATGGCATTCGCTCGATGTCGAGTGGGAGTCGAGCTGAAACTATCGCCAGACTACCACAGGACGCGGAACACGGCAAACGCATATTTAATCTCATCGCATTGTGGAACATCGATTGAGTAAGAGCGGTTTCCGATCCCGCGAGAGATCAAATATTCAAACATTGCAGAAGGGATCAAAATAAATTTCAAGTACCTCGATTGCCTGTTTCCGTGGCCGCAATCGTCGTCGAGAGCCCGACCATAGTTTCCCGGAAGTTGTTTTGCAATTTCGTTGCCGAAACATCGGCTGAGGTCGTGATTGCGGATGAAGACGATAATTTCCCGGTAGATATATGCGGAACGGATCGACTTCGCATCCGAGGCGGTTCTGCTTCGGCCTCGATCCCTGGAGCTCCGATAACGGGATGAAAGTCGAAAATCTCACTCGCTTGTCAATTTCTACTTCGCCGCCTCAACCGAGTAAATACGAGTCGCGGAAGCATGGCCCCATTCGTCAAGCAGTCTTAGACCCTGAGGCGATCCGAAACGCTCAGCAGGAGACAAAAGATTGTGTTTTTATGGCCGGAAGCGTCATTGAAGTTCCGATTCTCGCCGGAGCAGCCCTTACCCTGAATG